GTACCTTTAGGAAGTTCAAAGCCCTGGCCCCAGCAAGGGGCTTCATGCTGGGATTTGTCATCGGGCAATCAATCATCTGGATATCAATCATCCAGAAGATCAGTTATCCAGGGATCGGTCATGCAGCGGATCAGGGATCTGAGGATATGGCTTTGGAAGGGTCATGACTGTCCTAGTTTTTCCCATGACAATGCAGCAGTTTGATCAGTAGAGAAGGAAAGCCAGGCCAGCGTTCCCCAAACACACTAGTGGAGTGAGCCTCTTCTGGGTAATTGAAAACCAGTTCAACTGTATGCACAGAACTGCTTTTTAGCAACTTCAAGGCTCTGCTCTCCTATCCAGAATTGACTGAGATGGGGATCATCCTGGTGCATAGAAAATCAGTTGCACAAAACTCATTATTGTTAATAGTTCTATAATGTCATTTTTTTCCTCCTAATTTGTAGAGATACTTTTCTCCATCATTGATTTATTGAGATATTTAATAGCATAATAAAAATGAGAAAAACAACCCATAGGTGAGAAGCAGAGGGGACAGTTTTACAGCTGCCAAATTTTTCTTACCCACTCATGATCCTGGTGTAAATATTAGTATGGATAAATAGCATAGTGAATTATAACTGGAGTGTAAAATGTTGAATATGCTAATTTGGAAAAGGCAGAATTAAGCAGAATTAAAATATGAACATTTCCTTCTGTTAATTCAGAAGGAAATTCTCTTGGTATGACATTCTCTCCCCCGCCCCTACATTTTTTAGTGGAAATGGATTGCTAAATAAATCGTTCTGTGTTGAGATTCTGTATCAATATTTTAAAATGTTTTTATGAAAAATGCACACAATTCCTGGAGCTATGACAGAGTGCTTAAAATAAAATGTGGCCTTTAGGTGATGGGAGAGGAAGGGGAAATCATTTTTTTAGCCTCTGTATAGAAAAGCATTACAGAAATATTAATGCAAAAGATATTCGGAGGACCTATTCCAGAGGTGTTCAGACCTTCTCAGAACAGTCTGAAAAAATCTTTCACACTTTTAGTCCCTTAATTTCAGTAGTTTTAAGCACCATCCAGTTTTTAAGAATCTGTATTTTTGTCTTTAGTCTCTTTTACATTAAATTGTCTGTCTTTTCAGAGGAAAATTATTCTACAATTCATTCAACATTTAAGGCCCTTTAAACAGTGACTTACTTATAGTAAGCACTGAATAAAATGATATTTACTGAAAACCTGCTTGTGGTAGTCCCTAAGAAAGGTCATGGGACACAATGATGGATGGATGGATGGATGGATGGATGGATGGATGGATGGATCAGTGATGCCAACAGATATTTAATAAACTCTTGAAAAATTCAACAGCCCAATGGCCTAAACCACTCAGTAAATGTGATGGTGTGCTCTGAAAGCCCACTGGCAAGAGCAACTACCTCTTCCCAAAGTGTTGAGTGAGGTCAAGATGAACCTCAAAATAATGTGTCTGAAAGGCAACATGACCTTGTTGATTTTCCTTCATTGTCTGTCCATAGATTATAAATCGTTTGTTGAGAACAGATATTTCATATCATTCCCTCTTAGGTGGGACAGGATCTGACCAAGGATATGGAAGTATTTGTGGATAAATGAAGGAGGGCAGAGGAGGAGGAAGGGGCAACAGACCTCTCCAGGGCCAGGGAATTCCTATGCAGAGGACGCGCATGTGCCCTACTGCTCTTGTGCAAAACTCACATGTGACAACATAACTCACATATAGCAATTGTTCCACATGTAAGCCTCAATATTTTAAGAGGAAAGCAGAGCTTAAGCTATGGCTTGCCATTTTGACATTATTAGCAGTAAAAGGTATCTTGGTGAGAAATTACTGTAAAAGTGAATATTTAAAAATAAGTAATCATTGTACTACATTTCTGCCTGTATAGAGATTTGTGCTGCCAAAAGCTCATTCATATCCATTCCTTTATTAACCTGTGACTATGAGGCCTTAGTTACTAAAAATTCTAAATCCTTTGCAAATATAGACTTACACACTAGCAATTTTCTTCCTGTTTACTGTTGGGCTAATCCATTGAGCATATCTGGTGTTTCAAGGTATGTGATAAGGTTGGTTTCTGATCACCCTTAGCACCCCATAAAACTGTCAGCATGTGTACATGCATATTCAAATGGGTTTTTTTTCCACCAGGTACCCTGCTTTTGAAAAGACCACATATCTGTCTGTGTCTATAAAAGAAAAAATAATTCATGAAGGATTACTACTCCAAATGAACATTTTGATCTCTGAGCCTACTTCATACCAAATGACCTCCTTAGAGATTGAACTTACTTACATTTTATTTTACAAACACTCATGTAGTGCTTAAGATGTGTGAGGCACTGTTCTGAGAGCTTTATAAATATTAACTTACTTAATCTTTGAAGCAAACCTATGATGTAGAGGCCTTTGCTATCACTGTTTTATAAATGAGGCATGGAGAGGTAAAGTACTCTGTCTAAGGTCACACAGCTAATTGGTGGGTCCAGGTTTATACCAAGGCTGTCTAGCTCCAGACTCTGTCCTTTTAACCATGATAATTTGTTGTCTTTGGTGTTTTTGATAACAAATTTATTTACTTTCTTGGTAGGTGCCTCAGAACCAAACCCATTTTCTTCTTCATGCCTCTCTGAATAAAATAGTCTGACTTTAATTTAGATTTTTATTAATGTTTTTATATATGTCAGTGTTTAAATAAATTTGATATTTTTCCTGTAGTGAAATATATTTAGCATAAACTTTAGCATATTAACCACTTTTGAATGTACAATTCAATGGCATTAAGCGCATTCATATTGTGTTCAACCATCACCACCACCATCCATCTTTCAAACACTTTTTTTAACTTGCAAATCTGAAACTTTATGCTCATTTAACAGTAACTCTCCATTCCCTGGCACCCACCATTCTACTTTCTGGCTCCAGGAATCCAACTCCTCTAGGTAGCTCATGCAAGCAGAATCATTGTAGTATTTGTCCTATTGTGACTGGATTATTTCCCGAGATTTGTGCTGCCAAAAGCTCATTCATATCCATTCCTTTATTAACCTGTGACTATGAGGCCTTAGTTACTAAAAATTCTAAATCCTTTGCAAATATAGACTTACACACTAGCAATTTTCTTCCTGTTTACTGTTGGGCTAATCCATTGAGCATATCTGGTGTTTCAAGGTATGTGATAAGGTTGGTTTCTGATCACCCTTAGCACCCCATAAAACTGTCAGCATGTGTACATGCATATTCAAATGGGTTTTTTTTCCACCAGGTACCCTGCTTTTGAAAAGACCACATATCTGTCTGTGTCTATAAAAGAAAAAATAATTCATGAAGGATTACTACTCCAAATGAACATTTTGATCTCTGAGCCTACTTCATACCAAATGACCTCCTTAGAGATTGAACTTACTTACATTTTATTTTACAAACACTCATGTAGTGCTTAAGATGTGTGAGGCACTGTTCTGAGAGCTTTATAAATATTAACTTACTTAATCTTTGAAGCAAACCTATGATGTAGAGGCCTTTGCTATCACTGTTTTATAAATGAGGCATGGAGAGGTAAAGTACTCTGTCTAAGGTCACACAGCTAATTGGTGGGTCCAGGTTTATACCAAGGCTGTCTAGCTCCAGACTCTGTCCTTTTAACCATGATAATTTGTTGTCTTTGGTGTTTTTGATAACAAATTTATTTACTTTCTTGGTAGGTGCCTCAGAACCAAACCCATTTTCTTCTTCATGCCTCTCTGAATAAAATAGTCTGACTTTAATTTAGATTTTTATTAATGTTTTTATATATGTCAGTGTTTAAATAAATTTGATATTTTTCCTGTAGTGAAATATATTTAGCATAAACTTTAGCATATTAACCACTTTTGAATGTACAATTCAATGGCATTAAGCGCATTCATATTGTGTTCAACCATCACCACCACCATCCATCTTTCAAACACTTTTTTTAACTTGCAAATCTGAAACTTTATGCTCATTTAACAGTAACTCTCCATTCCCTGGCACCCACCATTCTACTTTCTGGCTCCAGGAATCCAACTCCTCTAGGTAGCTCATGCAAGCAGAATCACTGTAGTATTTGTCCTATTGTGACTGGATTATTTCCCTTAGCATAATATCCTCAAGGTTCATCCATGTTGTGGCATATGTCAGATATTCTTCCTTTTTAAGGCTGATTAATACTCCACTCTGTGAATAGACCACATTTTATGTATTCACTCACCCATCATGGACATTTGGGTTGTTTCCACCTTTTGGCTGTTGTAAGTACTACTGCTGTGAACATGAGTGTATACATATCTGTTTAAAATTTAATCTATTTTTTAAATTTCCCAGAGGGTGCATGTACTATGAGAGAGAGACAGAGAGAGGGGGAAAATGAGAAGGAACTCCTGGTGAGTGATGATCATGCTACAATCCCTTCTCCTCCATCTCTCCCTCTTTTTGGGATTTTGGACATGCACACACATGAACCCAGCATGTTTCTCAAAATGCTGGGTCAGGAATACGAATCATGCAGTTGGTCATATAGGACCCAGCTACTTTAGTCTCCATGCCACAGACTGGCCCTTTACTCTAATTTTGTAAATGAATACTTATACTTGTAGCACCTGAACACAGATTTAAAAACTAACTGCTCTTAGGGAAGGCATAAGGCTGAGGCCACTCTGAAATGCTGCTCCAACTTGAGGATGGCAATTTGTGTGGATTTGGGGATGGCCGTGAAGTCAAAAAGCAGAAGGGAGAGCCAGGAATCAGATAGGAATATGATAGAGGGGAGGAGAATGTGCAAGAAATGACCACTTCCCCATATGACCCACACCAGCCTCTGTCACTGAAGTCAGATGTGCTCTCTAGGGCAGTTGTGGACTGGCCAGCTGGGCAGGCAGGGTGTCTGAGTGCATGAGGTTCATATCTGGGGAAAAAGTCAACTTGACCTCTGCTCTTGCTTCATTGTCCCTCTTGCAGATGAAGGCTTGTGGGACATGTTTGTGAAAGACATCCCCCAGAGTGCCACATCCTGCACCGTCAGCCTGGATAAGCTCCGCCAAGGAGTGACCTATGAGTTCCGAGTGGTGGCTATAAATGAGGTGGGCTACGGAGAGCCCAGCAGCCCCTCCACAGCAGTATCAGGTAGGAGTCTTTTACAGGGGAAATCTTAGGGGCAAAGGTCTTTTATCTCCTGAGGGCATGGGGGATGAAATGGAAGCATTGGTGAAAAGAAAGAGGATACACACCATATTTCTTTAGGACTCTCAAGTGCCTGCCTAGAGAAAATGCAGGTGAAGAGAAAGGCACCTCCCAACACCACCTATCCTGCTGGGTAGCTCCCTGCCCAACAGCCCCATGATGCCAGCACTGGCAGGACCCCAAGCTCCAGACTGTCACCGCCCTGACATCTGATCCCAGAAGCTAAGGGGTCAGGCTGGGCCATTGTATTCTCCAGGAGAGTATCAGAGACAAAGTCCTGGTCACATGGAGAGCCCAGGTTGGGGAGGGGTGTCAAGGTTGATTAGGACTAGCAGGCCAGGGGGCCTGTGTGATTGTGAAGACTCAGGTCCCTTGGGAACATTAAAATAATAATAATAATAATAATAATAATACACTCCCACTGGTCCCAAGCCCTGGACAGTGATTCGAGTAGGTATCACTATTTTTTTTTTAACTCTGCAGTGATTGTGATGCACACCCACATTTTTGAGCTAGAGTTCTGGGGGTTTAAGTGAAGGGTGAGCTAGGTGAGTATGACATGAGGGTATTTGAGAAGAAGAACTTGGCAGGAGCAAGTAGGGGCAGAAAGGAGTTTGGGAGGTGACGGGCAGAGTCTAGGCCAGAATCCATGACAAACTGAGCAAAGCGAAGGTCAGCTTCATTATTTCTCTACCTTATAAACAAGAAAAATAGGTTTCATTTCCCTTGCATTTAGATTTGCCTAAGCTATGATGTGTTTGTTTGCCTTGAAAATAGCCTGCATCCTCTCTCTTTGTCAGAGTTTGGAGAAAGGATAGGATCTGTGGGCAGGCTCAGAGACCCTAAGCCTTGTACGCCTGGTCTAGGAGTACCTTCAGATTACAGGGCTGCTCAATGAGATGGGGCTGCAAGGAAGGGGCCCAAGGACCACCCCAAAATTTTCAGAAGTAAGATTTAGAAAAATCAAAGTATCTCATCTCCTTAGTTTCTAGTATGAAACATTTAAACAAAGCCCAAAGTAGGTAAAATGAATAAGAAATCTCCAGCACCCCTCACTCTAATTTGGAGATTCAAGATTTGTCTCATGTGCTTTAGGTGTGAAAGGTTGATATAAAGCAATTCCAACTCAGAGCTGGTGGCAAAATTCAGTTCCTTACACAGAATACACTCCCTCACCCTCCCTCAAGGGGCATTGTGGCTCAAAGATTTCTCCGAAATTCCACCGCATTCAAATGCTGGCTTGGCTGCCAGCTGGACTGCAGTCAGCGTATAACATCCTTCAGTGAAGCCAGCGACTGTCACCTGCCAGGCAGTACAGGAGTATGCTGCCCTAGCGTGAGCATCCTGCTCAACAGCCAAGGCCTTTCTGTCCTGCCAGGCACCAGAGCCAGGCCCACTCTGGGCCACTTATGGGTGGTTGGTTGGGATTTGTTGGACTTGTTTTATGCAGTATTTAATGCCCAGCCTGAAAGCCTGCCTATATCGTTTGGATCCAAAATACTGCTATCTCCTAAGAAACCCTGTGGTGTTACATTATCCAAAGCCAATCCCCCCTCTTTATTCCCAGTGTACACACACTCCTTATCCATCCAATGAGATTTTGAACTTAAGGCAGATGTGTTTTCTGTGGGTTTTGGCAGCTAGAAGCAAACCTTGGGCTTTACCCATGGAAGGCTCCATGTTCCTGGGTTCCCCATGCCTCAGAACTAGCTCCCCTGGGGAGAGGCACATGGAGGGCACTGAGCGGATCTCCAGGTGCATCCAGCACCCACAGAAAACAATATCCCAGCTTTTTGTTCATACAGAATAAAACATAAGGAAGAGAGTATCCTTCAAAACAGCTTTTAAATGTTAAATGAAATTTCTTCTCGAAAAACATATCTAAAGATAGATGGGACCAGCAGTTAGCATAATGGCTATGTCGCTGGACTCCCACATAGTCGACCACGGTTCGCATCCCGGACCCGGTGGCTTAAAACTCACACCGGGTGCGTGTGCATGCGTGCCCAAGATCCTGAGAGGAGAATGGAGGAGAAGGGATTGCGGCGTGGCCATCCCTCCTGGGGGGGGGATTTTTTGGGGGGGTGATTTTTCACTTTCTGTCTGGCGAGCACACGCGCCCTATAGTGAAAACCTCTCCAAAAAAAAAAAAGAAATCTAAAGATAGAACCAGTAGTTCAGCTCAGTTTTGCTGGAGGCAAGAAATAAAAATAAATAAATAAATAAAACACAGCCCCAGCCTGTAGGGGCTCATGATTTAGTGGAGGAGGCCAATTGGCAGACAGATAAATACACCCAGTTAGTACCTGCGACCAGAGTTTCATTCAGGGACAGATGGGACCCAGGGCTCAGCATAAGCAGCGGGTGGGCTGTGAGGGCTTTGTGGGCTCAGACTTTACCCTGTAGCTAACCGGGAATAACTAAAATAATTTTAGAAGAGGATGAATTATTTCCATTTCAGAAAGATCTCTCTGGTAGCAATGTCAGAACAGATTTGAACCAGACAGGGGCAACACAGTTGGATTATGGTAGGTAGCAGAGACACAGACACACGGTGGTAAAGGAGAAGGCGAGGCCTCTTGGAGCTGTTTGGGAGAGGTCATGGCATTGAGTTAGGAGAGGGTGTCCGAGCATGGTATGTTTCTTACTTTAACCCAGACAATATTTTGAAGCAGATGAAAACAGGGGAAAATAAGCACAAAGAGTTATTTTGATGAGCAAGGTCACCACAAGAGCAAGGATAGAAAAGTCTCTGGGGTCAGAAGTCATCTGGGGGACAGAGGATCTCTGGGCCTGATTTCATAGGAAAGGTAGAAATTGCTATTGCTTCTTTCCTAAGGCCTGCCAAGGAACGGCTGGAGCCTGGGCCAGTCCCACAAGGAGAGCAGATAGCCCATGTAAAGCCAGACTTGGCAGTGGCTCTATCTTCCCCACAACTCTCATCATGTCCTTCTCTATCCTCCCTAAGAACCCCACCATTATGGCTCATGGGAAATGACAATATCTGAAGTTTCTGTAGAATGTCATTGTGTGTTTGTGTCTTTTCTTCAGCTCAAGTAGAAGCCCCGTTCTATGAGGAATGGTGGTTCCTCCTGGTGATGGCCCTCTCGAGCCTGATCATCATCCTGCTAGTGGTATTTGCCCTGGTCTTGCATGGACAGAATAAAAAATACAAGAACTGCAGCACAGGTACGATGTCTGCCCTCATCTTCCCATTTCCCGAAGTGCCCTGGGCACCCTGGTGCTAAAATGTTGACAGTTTTTCTCTCCTGGATTTACCATGTCAGCACCCGCTTTTCCATTTCATTTTCTTGTAGGTAATAAAACAGGTGCAAGAGATTTTCTTTCGGAGGCAGCAAGTCACAGCAATGCAAGAGCGCTAGATCTCTATGTCTTAGAGAAGGTGTTTATCATTTGGCCTCTCTGAGCCTCTTTCCTCTTTTGTGCCATTGCTCAAATGCAATAGTATTTTTAAGATACTATTTGAATGTATAAAGCATCAAAAGAGATTAAATATTGCACTATGCAGAATTATGGAAACAGTAAACTGGGACACATCTCAAATATATAGGTGTGGCTTATGGAGTGTTAAAGAAACCTCTCCAGGGGCAATCCTTCTCATGTACTTGAGCTTGTACCTTGCCTCATGTCCCACGGTCCTGATCTGGCCCTTTGAGGACTTGCTCACTATCATATTCCCAGCACAAGTGCTATACCTGTCATTGAGTAGGCACTTAATCAATAAATGGTTGTCATTGAATGAACTGCCATCATCAGAGAAAACAATGGGCATGGGGTGAAGACAGCCACAAGAGAGCACACAGTGACACCATTTATAGGAAGATCAGGAACGACCAAAATGAATGGATGTTTCTAGAAAGTAGCATTGTGGTTACCTCCTTGTGGAGAGGAATAAACCAGAAAGGTGTATCAGCGAGCCTTCCAGGTGCTGAATATATTCTTACCTCAGTGTGGTTGGTAGTTCCACACATAATAAGGAAACATTATGCTGCACACTCAAAAATCATTGTTCTTTCTGCATTTTATTATCTTCAGTTTTTAAAAACTTCTCATAATTTCCAGTGAGATTCTTCTTTGCATTACCATGACATAACTGAGCTTTAGAGCATGGCCTGTTTTAATCCTGATCACCATTCACCAAATCTATAGCTGAACCCAAGAATGTGGATAGTTCTGATATCACCATACCGGCCAAGCTGGAGCACTTTCTGAGCCTAGCTCCATCCCTGGAGGTTCTTCCACCTATCCATTTGAGAAAGGTGTGTCCCTGATAAGGCATTCTTAAAGAGGAATCCAGTCACCTTAGCCCTCTGGAATGACTCATCAAGACTCTCCATCCTTGTGCTGAAAGGGTTAATAAAACCAAGCACCTAAATGCCTCACCATTTGCTTTTGTAAAGTTAAGTAATTCATCCCTCAAAGAAAGGATTTATTTTTTTTTCTGTATAAATTCACTTCTAACAAGTGTTCGTAAATCAGATTTTACTCCCGTGGGATTTACAATGTATGAATGGCATGTCATTTTACTGAGTTAATGCTATTACAGAATCCTACGTCTGGCACATAGAAAATCTTTCTGCTTTTCACTCTCCTTCTCCATCTGGAAAACAGACTTGAAAAGACAGATCTGACCTGCAGCTTCCGATACTCAGCCTCACCCTGGAGTATTAATTTAACATCATAATTGAAGCCTAGGAAAAAAATATATACTTGTCTATCAGAATGTCTACCGTCCTGCCCAAGAGACATGCAGAATTTAAACCTTTGCTATTGCAGCATCATTCTACACCCTCTTTGCATGTACTACCTTATCCTCCTATCCTCCTCTGAATTCCTTTTTGATACTGATTTTCACCTGCTCACCTCCAACCAACCCAAATCCCCACTCACAAGCAAGTTCACCTTTCATTTGCTTCTTTGTGTTCTATTTGCTTTTTCTATTATAAACAAATAAAGCATTAAGATGAGATGAAGGAGTGCTGGATTCCCCAACAAAGAGGGACTTCTTCAGATTTAGAAATGGCATCACACTTAAATACCTAATAAGCCCCTGATGTGGAAGTTTAGGCATTGTCTTAGAAGTTAGCAAGACAGTAAGGAGCTTGGTAGATAAAGTCCATGCCTCAAAGAGCTTAGAGTCTAGAAGGAAAGTGAAAAGACAGAAACAAGCAGATAAGTATGTGTGACAAGTTCCTAGGTGGCAGTGAGTACCATGGGGAGAAACACTGCAGGGTGAAAACTGTAGGTTATGCTGGGAGTGAAGAAAGCAGGAGCAAAGGGATTGCTCTGGTTGGTCTAGAAAGATCTCTCTGATCTTAAGACATTTGAGCTAAGATCTATAGGAAGGGACAAGTAAGCTGGGAGAATCTGAGACACTTGATGACTGAAGACCACTTAGTAGGAAAGCCTGAGAGATGAGCATGCTCAGTATGAGCCAGCATGAGGACTGGGGTGAGAGAGAGACTCTGAGGTCAGGTGAGATGGGGGGTATAGACCAGGCCGAGCTTGGGGACAACTGTGAAGACTTGAGCTTTCCTGATGAACAAGATGAGAGGTCATTTGAATTTCTTTTAATGTTGTTTGGTTTCTCTAACTTTATTTTTTTATAAGTTATAATTTTTTAGAAGTATCTTTCTTTCTCAAGAAATGGGGGCATCCTCAACCCCCAATAGAGTTTTCACACCACAATTAACCCCCAGCCTCAGCTAGACTGGATTTCAAGCACACGTGCATGTGCCCAGCATGTATAGAGAGGCCTCAGGCCATGAACCCAAGACCTTCCCATGTGAATCCACCATCCCAGAACATTGTATTACTGTTGTGCCAACAACTGACCCCATTAATAATTTTTGTTCATTTTATCTAGTAGATTTTTTAGTGGAAACTCTTTTTTTCTTAAATTTTATTTATTCATTTATTTATTTTTAATTTGACTAGAGAGAGACACACAGAGAGAGGGAAAGTGAGAAAGGAAGCCATCAGGTCCAGGACTTGAACCATGGTCAGCCATGTGGGAATATCCAGCACCTTAACCACCACGCCACCTGCTGGCCCCGATCTAGTATATTTTAAAATGTGTTTTGATATATATTTCTATTAGGTTGTCAGGAAAGTCATGATGTATTTTTCTGTTTTTCTATGCAAAAATGCATCATCACTTTCCCAACAACCCAATGTAAATTGAAAGCATACAAGTCAATGGTTAATTCACACACACTTGCAACTCTTTGTTTTTTGTTTTTGTTTTTGTTTTTTTGTGTTTTTTTTTTTTTTTGAGAGGTTTTTGCTATAGGGTGTGTGCACTCACCAGAAAGAGAGAGAGAGACAGAAAGCGAGAAATCACCCCCAGAAGGGGTGGCCACACTGCAATCCCTTTTCCTCCATTCTCCTCTTGGGATCTTGGGCACGCACACACACATGCCCAGCGTGAGTTTAAGCCACCAGGTCCAAGACTCGAACCGCTGTTGACTACATGGGAGTCCAACAACATAACCATTACACCAACTGCTGGTCCCATATAAGATACTTGTAACTTTTACCACAATCAATTTAAGAAAAATTTTTATCATCTTGAAAGGAAACCCTGTACCTTTTTTTAGCTGACAAGCCCCTGTAAATTTACTTTTTACTTCCTGCTTTGTTATGTGATTATGAATCTTTTTATTTTGAAATGTGTTAAATATTTAATTTCCTCACTTTAAAAGTTTCCACATTCTAGTACATTTCCATAAAATATTGGCAAAATACTTGTAGTTCGGCATCAGGCAAAAAAAACAGTGAAATGCTAATTTTGTCATTTTGTTCCAACATTGTAATCAATATATAGCTTTTCTCCCCAGCTCAGCTCTCACTGCCTTGCAAGCTGATGCAGGTTTGCAGCTCTGGGTTTCTAGCCAGCAGAGGAACTCAGGAACTCCTGTCGTTGACTAACTGGTTCCGTCTCACTGCAAGGGACACAGTAATAAAACTTCTGTGCTTGCTTCCTTGATCTGGGTTTAGGTAAGAGCATCTCCAATATGGAGGAGACCGTGACCCTGGATAATGGAGGATTTGCAGCATTGGAACTCAACAGCCGCCACCTCAATGTCAAGAACACTTTCTCAAAGAAGAATGGAACTAGGTAGGGAAGTGGCAGCTACAGCCTAGTACTGTGTCTGTGCAGTGAGTCAGCCAGGGCTATGTGCCTGTCAGAGATGTGCCCCACCCAGTCCCACTGAATCTCACTGTGTGCTCTCAGAAAGCAAAATGTCACTCCCCAACAGGCATGATTCTAACTTTCAGGGGCAGCTATCTGAATCTAGGATGGGCAGGTGAAAAGAGGGCTCAATTTCAGGTATGTGGGAAGTGATGTAGGATACCCAACAGCTATCAAGCCAGCTGTCTGTGTCTACTGGCCAGGCACCTTGATCTGCTGAATTCCTAGTTTAAATAGCCATCACCTTAGCTGTAGCAGGCTTGATCTCATCTCCTCAAAAGGGAGAGTTGTTATTTTTACTATTTTATGATGTATTCCAAAGTCTTCCTGTGACAATATAGATTGTCATTTCATTTATGGACATGAATGCAGACAAGAATGATTTTCACCACTAAAACCTCCTACCTTTTTGCCCTTTTGTTAATCTCACCAGGAAGTGAGGATTCCCAAAGAGAAGAGTAGATAACCTTGATTTGCCTTTTGATTTGTAGAGCACCATTTTCTGATCTGAGCATCCTTGACCAATAGGAAGGGCCAGGATTGGAGAGGGTCTTGAGAGTTGCATAGAATAAAAACAAAACATCTGAGGTTGCTTTACCTGGAATATCAGTAGCTCAAGGTTCTGCCAGGGGCCACCAGCATTAGAGGTGCCCATTCTCTTCTCACTGGGCCAGATTGGGCTTGGATCTACTTTTAATTGCAAGGACATGGTAATTACCAACTATCAAGACACAAGCAGAACAAAAGTCTTAGTTCCTTCATTGTGTGTACAATGTAGTGTCAAGCAGTACTCAGAGATTGCCTGTTTCCACCTGAGTTTGGGAATCTCAGATCATCAAATGGTGCTGAGGCCCAGAACTAACTGAGGCTCCTCACTCTTCGGGGAGGCAGATAACCCAGATGGGTCTTCTACCTGCAGCTTACCCTCGCCAGCACCGCCAAGTGGCCAGTGCAAAGCAGAGCAGGCTCCATTCATCCAAGTTACTTTGCTTAAGACAGGAAGTACTTCCCTTAAGACAGGAAGTTAGTAGCGATGTCTGGTCATCTTTTTCATTTTATTTCTGTCTACTGAGAACAAGTTTTTTCCTGTTGTGTAGTTGAAACACAAAAGAGCAGTCACATATAATTTCAAGACTAAGGCCAAAATTACGGAGGATTTTTAAATATTACATGCTCTGCTCCCTTGCTACAAGTATCTCTTCCGTGTCTTTTGAGAGGAGATACAGCTTTGAAACACATTGCTCAAGAATAGACAATAGTTCAGTTTGTTAAATCTGTCTGCTCCCTAGGGGGGAAAAAAAAAATCATTATATGGTGAAGTTGGAGAATCTCAGCCACAAAGAGCTTTTCCGAGCCCCCCCCCCCCCAAAGCAGGAAAATAGAGCCATCTGGTATCAACAGAACCAAAGGCTAAGTGTGGCTCCAGGGGACGATCCTGCAATCAATGATTACACACTGTTAAAAGGAGGTGGAATTGGCACATTCTAAGGAAGTCATTTCTAAAGAAGAGCTCTTGGGCACTGGAGGAGCTATGAGCCTTTCCCAGACTAGGAAGTATTTTAGCAGCTTTGGGAACTATGGAGATGTGTATAGGGTTAGGGGGAAGACCAAAGAAGGTAAGTCTTCTGGCTCCTCCTATCTCTAAGGTTCCATGAGCCCATCTCATCTCATGAACTTATAGTGCTGAGGGAGTCCTCCTGGGTCAGATTCAGGAAGGTGGTGGACACAGTCCTGTGGGCCATGGGCATTTTACCCTCAAAGATTCTCAAGTGTTTTTCTCTAAAACCCTAAAGTCATGTCTCTCAGCATGGTCTTATCACTTAGCCAGCCATTGGGAACACAGGTGCCGACTTCTGGGTGGTCTAAGGCAAGCTGGAAGTCCTCAGCTCAGCTGTCCACAATTGCACATTTCCTGTGAAAAAGGGGACTTATTTGGTTTGGTTCATTCACCTCAGTCAACTGGCTTCTGTCAAGATGCTGAACTTCCTGACGGGGTCAGGTGCAAACCACCCTGTGCCTGCTGGGAGTGAAGGAAATAAAACAAAGACAGAAAGGAATAAAATCAAGACAGAAAGGAATAAAATCAAGACAGAAAGGAAAAGTGGCCCTTTCTCAGGTTTTTAAATATACTCTCACCTTTTTAGTCCTAGCAATAGAACCCCAAATGTGATAGACAGAAAGGACTCTTGGGGGGGAAGGAATGGAATATTTGTCAGAGGTTCCAGGGAGGCCTGAAGCCTTCAGTGTGAACAGGGTTTTATGAGGCTTGGGTCCTCTAACATATCTCTAAAATAAGAACATGGCTGGTTTATATCTCTTTATTCCATATGGTATGGTTCAAATTTCTTTGTGGGGAAAGCACCATTGTATCTCCTTAGATTAAAAATTGACCCAAATGGTTAGATGACAAATGGAATCTTTCCCAAAATAAATTATCTTTGATACGGGGAGAAAAAGTTTGAATCTTCACTTGGATTTTCCTGGAATAACTGAAGCATAAGACACCCCCTAGAAGGGCAGTCCTGATACCCTAGACCAGAGGTCTTTATCCTTATTCATCTTTCCAATGGGTTCTCTGTTCAGTTCCTTGCTTGGGTCACTGAGCATCATTTTTCCTATTAGGAGATGAAAGGACTTTTCATCTATAGCCACCACCCAGCTCTCTACCCTCACAGCATGAGCGAAGGTTTGACCTGAGCTGCTGGAGGGTGTAGACCTGAGGAAGAACCCTGAGTGCACAGGTAGGGCCAGCTGCCTATCCAGTTGACCATGGGCCTCTCTCACTAACAAATCTCTGCACATCCTTACAGGGTAAGAAGTGCTCATCATGCCTGATTGAAAAATTAAACTGTTTTTTCTTGGATTTTCCTCCCTAATTTCTAATTTCTCCAACTGAAAAACAGAAGCTGAGCTTTCACTCAGCTACAAGATGATAATCACCAGGAAGTTGGAAGCTGAAGAGTGTTACTTGTTTTCTATCGCTAAATGGCAAATGACCACAAATTTAACAGCTTACATACATTTATTATCTCTTGATTTTTATGGGGGTAGGAGTCTGGGCCCATCTTAGCTGGGTTCTTTGCTCAGGGTCTCACATAGCTATAATCTAGGTGTCATTTGAGCCGTATTCTCACCTGGAGGCTCGACTGTACCAGAACCCTCTTCCAAGCCAATTCAGGCTATTGGCAGGATGTATTTCCTTTTGACCACATGACTGAGAACCCTGGCTTCTTTCTAGCTGTCAGCTGGAGGCTGTTTATGGTCCTCTGCCCTGGGCCTCTCCAGAGGCCATTCACAATATGCCATTTGCTTTTGCAAGGCCAGCAAGAATGTCTCTGTCTGCAGTCAGAAAAGATGGACATCTTATGCTCATGGGAATGATGGAAGTGACAGCCCCTCACCCTCTCAAATATCCCTAGCAAGGCTGTGATGCCCCTCCCCATCACCACATTTCACTGGTTAGAAGCACATCACAGAACCCACCCAAACTGAAGAGGAAGGGATGATGGGAGGCAGTAATGGGGCCTCCTATGAATTCTGCTTACCACAAGGAGCTAATGTTCAAGCAAGCCTCCACATTCCACCAGAGCAGGAGACTGGGCTGGTGTAAAATTCCTTAATTCTCTCCCGGGTGGGATACAATTCACACTTCTCATCTTGGCAGATGAGACCTATCCTTTGTAACCTTGTCCTCATCCCTTCTCATACACTCCTCTCCCCTGCAAGCATGCATATGCCAAGTACCCTGAAGCTCCTGCTGTGCTCAACCTTAGCTGCTCTTGGATGTGAGTATCTCCCTGGCCCCTCCTCCAGGCAGACTAGCCCACCCTCAGTCCTAGCATAGTGCCCTGATATTAGGCACCCAAGAAGTGGATGCTGTTGAATCATCAGATAGCTCGTATTCATCCTTGCTTGCAATAGTTGTTGTAGTGGTATCCAAGGCTGTGAATTTCCTATTATTTCCATAGGATAAAAGCCAGATGGCAGGGTAGGAGACCTCCAGGGATGGTACCTTTTGCCCAGGAAGTAACTTTGAGCATTCAATTTCATCCTAGGTCTCCACCACGGCCGAGCCCTGGTGGTCTGCACTACTCAGATGAAGACATTTGCAACAAATACAATGGTGCCGTGCTTACGGAAAGTGTGAACCTCCAGGAGAAATCGGTGGATGCGTCAGAGTCCGAGGTCAGTACAGTGCTTTTTTGGGGCAGAACCACCATTCCCTACTTTTGTAATGAACCTCTGCTTACTCAAGATGTCTTATCTCACTTGATTCTCTCAACATCTCGTGAAGTAGCAGAGCCAGTGACAAATGCCTCCACTTTACAGATGAGGGAAATATGTGAAGACCCCCGAGTTTAGACCCATGGTCTACTTGGAGTCCGTCAGCACCTCCCACACAGTCTTGAGCAGAACAGAGGCTCCAAGCTGGTTCATGGAGGAGCAGATTTCAGTTCTTAGAATGTGGGAGCTAGAGGAAGAGATAGACAATGCTGGCATGCTCTGAAAGCGGCACCCCACAGACCAGAGTGTAGATGTGGAGTGGACATCTGACAAGCCATGCACCTGCAAGCTGGTTGCTTTTACATGCTTCATCTCATTTAGTCCTGGAGGTGACTGGTATGAAACTAGCTGAAAGTTGACTTTTGACCTGGAAGCACGGTCTCTCTGTTTTGCTTTCAGAAATAAATGCAGAAGTGGGACCAGCAGTCAGCGTAATGGCTGTGTTGCTGGACTCCCATGTAGTCAACCGCGGTTCGCGTCCCAGACCCAGTGACTTAAACTCACGCCAGGTGCATGTGCGTATGTGCCCAAGATC